ATATTATTGCAGCTGTTATGTTATAAAAATCGTTGAAATTTCTTGATTTCTTGTAGTAGCTGTCATACAACTTCAACAGTTGTTTGGTCATGTCTTATACAAACTATCGAAATTATAGTACTAAAATTTTTCATAAATTAATATGGTAATACGGCAACTATATTATAAATTCGCTAATAGGATACAAGTTCGTAAGGGTATCACAGAGTTGACATTATTACTCTAGTTTTTAGTAAATTTACAGAAAGCTTTCTCAGAAATTTTACAGAAATCTTTATATATATATGCAGCTTAATTATAGTTAGCTTCCAGGTAATTTTACTGTAGCTTTTCTGAATAAGAAGGATAATAATTATATATATAGTTAAACACTAATTTAACAAGTAAAATTCATATTTAATTGGAAAATCAAAATTTGTCGCACAAATAACTTGGGTGAAACTCAAGTGCCTGTTTTACATGATACACTATGTTATATAACGTATATAAATAAATTATTGCAATGCAACCTCTAGTTCTCAAATACCACGATTTACAAATCACAAAATCTAATAAAAATGATAATATTTAAATCGGATATTATTAAATTTTTTAAGTGTGTTCCACAGTGTTTTCCTATAGCAAAGTTAAATTGCATTCTATAATTTTTACAATAACTTTGTCAAATTTTCGAACAAAATTAATTTATGTATATTGGCTTACTTTAGAAATAACCTGTGCGCTACGCTTTCATAAATACTCGATTAGTCAAATGGACCTGCTTCTGCCGTTTAAAATCAATTTTGCATTTTTAATTTTTATTATTCTCAATTGCTTAAATAATCATAAGTAAACTTATTAAAATATCCCAGGGTTTTTAGAGCTTGCGCTGTTAGGAATACTTATTTGTCGTTAAATGGTATTACAAATCAATTAGATTTGTGATTAATTCTCATTATAAAAATCATATATTTTTAGAATTACAAACACAACAGAAAATAATTGGGTAATTATGGAACATTTTAGTTTCAATATTTTTAAGCAAAAACTAGTCTGTTGATTAATTGAGTACAAATTAAAAATAAAATATACTTGTATAGTAAATTAAAATTGTTTTTACTTTAAAAAAAAACTTCTGTGATTTTATGAAACTTAATCTTTCTTCATACTATAAATAAGCCTCCAGTTATGCAATATAAAAATATTTTTAATAACAAAAAGCAGTTGGTTATTGTTTACTTTGTAATTTTGATTTTTACAAAAATTCGCAACAGTTATAGTTTCTTACACTATATACATATGTATACTAATTTTAAAATCATGCTTTAATAAATTTCATTATATTTTAATTATTTTATAATTGAATAAATTTAAAACTAAGAAAACACACTGATCTAATAAGAAAATAGCCGACCGCATTGTAAAAATTAAAAAATTTACATAGCATATAGTTTTATGGCTATGTACACGTACTTAATCATTATTACTTTTACTTAATATAGCTCCGAAAAATGTAATGTCAGTTTTTTTAGTTAAAGACATTCTTTTAGAAGTCTGATGTTACCAAAAAGTAGGCTATTTAATTTCTTAGTGAAACAAAACTATGCAAATAAAAAATTTTAACAAAGCCTTGATTTTTTCTTATATGTGATCAAAAGTGTAAATTCTGTTTTAAAAATTGATCAATTCTTTCATTTCATAAAACAAATAATTAAAAACGTTCTTGAGAATTTGAGACCCAATAAGTACTCTTGTCTCTCTAGCCCAATTTGAGAAGCAAGAATTTGTAATCAGACAAGCATGCAATTACAGGAATCCTGGATAAAAATAATTGTTTTGCATTTCTATAAACCGGAAAAGTGGAAGCAGAAGACAATACCTCTCTTATTGTATTCAATGCGGTCGGCGAAAATCGATTACTATTAAACTAATTCAAGACAATCATATTAAAAACTTCTTTCAAATTTTTATCAAATAAAAACAGCAAATTATACTCAAAGCAATTCATATTTTAACAAATTTTCCCCATCGGGAATACTACAATTATTTTTCAAATTTAATTATGCACACTCACAATCAACTTACTTTTTGATGAAATTTCAAGAATAATCCTAAATTATCATTAAAAAATAATAAGTTTTAATCCAAATTAAACTTATATCTTAAATGAATTTTGATATTTGAATTGTAAATTTTTAATTTTAGTTTCAAATTCCACAAATGAAAAACTTTTAGGTTTTCTGAATTATAATTTATAATATTTTAAATTTTGAATAATATCCTTGACTTTGGTAAATATTATTGTATATGTATATTTTATGGAGACTCATTATTTTTAAACTTGATATGAAAACTAGTAATATTTTCCTCGAAATTCCTTAAGAATTTTTAATTCAGAATTTTTAGATTCATAATAATATGTAGCTCGATTACCACTACTTAGCAAAAAAAAAAAAATGAAAAAAATAAAAATTTTAATTTTATTTTATAAATTTCAATTTAATATTCAAATCAATTCAATTTTAATTTAAGAATAAAATTTTTAATATAATTAGAATTTCACATAAATTTGAAATTTATAAATTGAATGAATGATTCAAATGTACTCAATTTTAAACATTGCAATGAAATAAAAATTTCTATAACTATTTTTATCATTTATAATCCAATATATTTTCTTATTAATTTCATGGAAGAAAAAATATTGGAGAACGAGTAACTGACTACTAACGGACAACAATACACATTATTATACACAATTGGGTAAAAAAAAACATTTATTACGAAACACTTACAAATTTATAAAATTTTTATATTTTTTTACTTCTTTTTTTTTTATTATAAAATAATATAATGTTTAAAAAACAATAAAATGTTCATATATTATGCAAATAAATGTAACAGAGTTATATACATATATAGTATGTATATTAAATATTATATTGTTATACACAATTTGAGTTAAGCCGGCTTAGATAAATGTATAACGGTATTAAAATAATAATAAAATAATTATATACGATTTTTTTTTTCCTCGAATAATCGTTTTAACGGTACAAGAATCACGACGAAACTAAGTAAAAATTGTTTTTCAAAAATGTCCTTGCATATATCCTTTCGAATAATATTCATTATTGTTGTTATTGAAAAAGCTTATTTCATTATTCTATTTAAAGCTTTTTTTCTTTTATTAAAATATGGTAGGGGAAATTTCACCTACTATACATATATTAAAGGTATTTTATTTAAAAAATTTCCAAAGAGATTAATTCCTCTTTTATAATATTTTTATTTCAGAAGAGTAACGGAATTTCATCTATTTATGAATGAAATCATATTATGGGAATTTAGATTATTCAAAATATTATTACATAATTTACATATCTAATAAATTATATAATAAGCATGAAAATACAATTTATTTCTATTTAAAAATTTCTATTTTTAAATAATGAATTCGTAGGGCATTTTTTAAAAAAAAAAAAAAGGAAATGTCTATAGTGCAATTTAGCATGGGATATATTATTCATTTAAAATATATTTTTTATATATTTTGAAAAGTTATGTAACTATACAATATTGTACGGCACATTCGTGTTAATAAAATAGTATAAAATGATAGAAATAGTATGGGAAAAAGCATCAAATTATTGTTAATCTATAAAAATATAACGTTAAAGATCAAATAATCACTATGTTGTAAAAAAACATGGTAAAAGAAAAATATGTTTGTATTTTAAAGCAATTGTATATGTATTATATGTATATATGTAGGCACATATACATATATACATACATAATATGAAATAAATGCTTGAAAAGGGACATATTCTGTACAAAAATAATAAAAATAATAAGATATTCGATTCACTCTTACACAAAAAAACAGTTATTAATAGAAAAGTTAAAAATAAACCTTATATTTTATAAGTACATATACTTACCTAATTGAATAACGAACTTAATTTTAACATTGAGTTAAAAATATTATGTCCATATTTATAGCCTATATAGAATATAGTTGCAGTAAATCGAATAAAATTCAATTATATTTAGATACCATTAAAATTTAATATAAAACGGTTATTCTCCTTATGTTTAAGCAAAAGGAAACCCGATTAATTTATTTGTGTGTGATATTCACAGAGTTTATTACTATTTTCATAGTGAAACCGATAGTTTTAGTTTGGAAAATTTAGAAAAATTGAAAACTGACTTAAAAATTCCCGAAAAGAAGCGCGTAACTTTAAATAGCAACAAATATATTACATGATAAACTGCAATCTTAAATTTGCCGTATAATTAAGTGTCAAAGCTGCAATAATTTTAAGAGTACAGGATTTTCATCTAAAATTTTGTATTTGTAAATCTTATTCGTCTTTTTATTGACTTGTTATTATTTGTCTTCAATATTATTATATTTTAAAAATGATATACAACTTAAAAACAACAATTAAAATCGAAACAATTTTAATTTCAGTATACAAGAATTTCGTTTTAACAATTTCCTCAACAAAATACAAAATGATCATAACAACTATTTGGAAAACTTACAAAACAAAAAGATGCCTTCAATCAGTGAAATTTTTTCAAATACAAATGTGTAATACCATGCTTATAAACCATGGTACTACACTGTTATAAGCAACATAATATTACGAATATTTTAAACAAATATGTTTTAACCTACCGTATAATCTTTACTACTAATTATTGCTGAAATTATTAAAACTTATAGTAAGCACTGATGTTTAAATGGAATATAATTAAAATAAAAATTAAAAACTGTTACTTTATGTATACATACCGTATATTTAATAGAAAAATTGTTTTATTAAGCAACTTGTCAAATATTATAATCGAAAATTGTACAAATAACAATTAATTGACTTTATTAAGTAATATTATAGAAAATATATATATATATGATTAGTCTTATGATTTTAATAATTTTTGATTTTGTTACAAAATAAGGTATAAATAAAAAAAAACATCATGTAAAAGGTTTCTCTTATATAGTTGAGCAATACACTATTATTATTAAAATTTATTTCATATTTAATAGCCTATAAATGGTTGACTGTAATACTTTGAAAATTTTTTCGATATACTGAATGTTATTTATAAAAATGCATTCATTTTGTTGTACAGAACAAAATAGTTTTGTTATTTCGGAGCTTAAGAATTATTATAATTAAATATAAAATTTAAAGCACTTTCAAATACAAGTATTATTTTGGAATAAATAATAAAACTAACTACCATCTCTCATGGATTTATCAAAAATTAACCTAAGTGTACAAAAATCGAAAAAAAATTCGGCAATTCAACTCAACTTTTCAAAAAAAAAAAATTAATATGTTAAAAGCACTTTCAATAATAAAAATATAAAAAAAAAACATATTTCTAAAGTTAATAATTGGAAGACAAACAACTTTTAGTTTTGATCGGTGGTTTCGAAGTTATTGGTTCTTCGTCATCAGAAGGCCCAAAAGGACATACAAATTCGCTCCATTCCTCGGGACCTTTATTACTCTTTCTTCTTTTCAATGAAAATTGACCTTTTTTCGGATATTTCATTTTACTTGTTACGGTCAATGGGACGTACCCTAGTGTATTTTCAGCTTGTCTTTTTTGCTGAATTACATCTCTACCCAATAATTCTTTAAATCTTGTTGATAGATGACGTCTTAACAGTGTTTTGCTTTGAGGAATACAAAGTAATTGTGCTAATAGTTCAGCATTAAATTTTGGTTCGTATTTCATAAGAGCACCATGTACCCCAGCTCCTCGCAGATTTGGCGCATATTCACTTAAATCGACTCCTCTCAACCATTCCATTACGCGATTGGAAGTCCATAAATGCACAGGTTCTTCATTGATATTTTCTGGTAAAAATCTATTAACTAGACAATTGTCATCCCATTTATTTTCACGCATTACTTGAATTCCTCTTCTTATGCTAGCCACAAACAACAAAGTTTGGACATTTAAAATAGCTAAATCATCCATAGTTAATTTGTGAAGCATTCTACCATCAATCCTTTCAGTTAAAAAAGATGTTTTAAGTTGTGACAAACCAATGTCATCTAACCATTTAATTACCCAAGCTGTATCTAATTTTCCTGCACACAGCATTAATTCATCTGTTTCTTTTCCACTTAATTCTGCTACAGCCAACACAATTTTTTTTCTGTGTAAAGGAGATTTTAAATTTAATTCCCTTTCCATGTCAGCTGGTGCGCATTCTATTAAATTTTTTGTTCCATCTACCAACCAACGTCTTGCATTCTCCTCAATATATCCTAAACCCATGTCATAAAACCAGGAACATATATCATCTACATTCCAAATTTTAAAATCTTTTAGTTGATATTTAACACTTCCACTCCAACACAATCTTGGTGAAGCAGTAGCTCTAAACCCACCTCGTTGAAAGTCACCAACAATGCCTACATCTTCTAGATCACCACTATGACTGCGGCGTAATTTTCCAAATAAATTTTTCAGTCTTTTTGGTTTACGATTATTTGGTTCAGCAATTAAACTTTGACTTAAAAATGAATTAGCTAAATCCTGTATAACTCTTTCCTCCTCAGCGAAACCTACACAACGTGGCTCTTTTAAATTTGCATTGTTATCCATGTTTTGCTTTTGATTAATGTCATTTAAGTAGGTCACATTTAAACTTGCCAAAGCCGATCTTGGTAAACTATTAAAATTTGGTGATACTTGATGTCGAAAAGATGATGGTGGAGTTCGGGATAATTTTGATTTCTCAACACTTGAAATACTTCCATGAAAAGATGCACTCATTCCAGTATTGTTAAATCTAGCACTTTCTGAAGGTGACGATTTTTTAGGAGTTGAAGCATGGTTATTTATTTCCATATGAGTGCTGCCAATTTCTACAATACTGCGTTCTAACGCAGCTTTTTGGAGTTTAAGTTCACTAACAGCTGACATTAAAGCCATTTTTTGTGTTTCCAATGATGATCTCAAAACAATTTCACGCTGCAAAAGCGCCTCAGTATGACTAAGTTGTTCAGTTTTTCTAGATACTTTTCTTTGCAGTTCTTCAATTATTTCATTCTTTACAGAAATCTGTGACTTTAGATTTCGCATTTCTAGCAGTAATTCTTCTTTTTCTTTATGAAAATTTTTCATACAATCATCCATATCTTGTGGTCTGTACATTTCTAACCAGTTGCTTATAGCTAACGCAGTTTTTTCATCGGGCGTTGGCTTCAAAGAACCAACCTGCTGCAAGGCAAGAGCAAGCGATTTAGCAATAAATAAAACATTTGAAGCAGATATATCTTCCGATGAATGTTTATACTGAGGTATATCTCCCATTTCTAGCTTTGTTAAAAACCTAAAAGAAAGAAAACAAGTTATTTTTTTCACACACAATATAAAAAATTTCTAAAAAACCAAATTTATTGTTAATGATTAAAAATATTTTCAATATTAACACCAATTTATTTACCAAAAATAACTTAAGAAGCGATAAAGAAAATAATAAATAACTCTTTCAATAAAATAAAATAATAATATTGTAAAATTTTGTTGTCAAAGTTTGTGTATGACAGACGTCATTTTCGCGAATGCGGCGACGTCTACTTAATATTGAGTTGCCATTGCAAACTAAAATTGTTAATTATTGGCCAAATTAAGATGACATCTTTAGTTAAAATCTTACAATGCGAACAGGCCATTGAATATGAAAACAAATTAAAATTCAACGGAAAGTTAGAATTTCTTTTAGTTACAATAATATTTTATATTTTTCATCTTAAAATTGACTAAGGTCAAGAGATCAATAAATATTGAATAGAAATAGTAAATTTTTATAATAGTGAAAAATCAACTATAATTAATTTTTGATGACAAGAGTCACTCGAAAAAACACACATAACATTTTTAAGAACCGTTATTTTGATAAAAAATCCGAATTTTAATGTTTTTATTGAAATGTTACAAATAATAATAAAATTGAAACAAAATTTTATACAAACTTTTAATTTGAAAAATAAAAATTGACTTTAAAAAATTTGAAATTTTTAAAAAGAAAAACTAGAATTTTGTATTACGAAAAAAAAAAAATCTAGTAATCCAAAATTTTTTTTCGAAACTTTTCTTGGTAAACAAAATTTTAGATTTTTAATTTTCGCCAATTTTTGTAAAGAATAGTACCTATATGGTTTGAAATTCTTAAATGCATTTTTCTCACATTGGGTGCAATTTAAAAATTTGGAAAAAATATTTTCGGAATCTAGACACCATTTGGCATCTGAATTTATTAAAATTAACCAGCTGGAGCGAATTTTTAAAGACATGCCATACAAATTGTGACATTTATTTTAATAGAAAAAAAATTTATTCCAATAGGAAAATTTAATTTTTTTTACACAAAATGGAGTTTGTAAATGATATGGTAGGTACATTATGAATTTAAAGAATAATTAATAAATAATTTAATGGGATTAATAAATTTTGAACAAATTTCTAGAAAAACTAAAATTTGTATACGGTTGATGCAGCTAAAGAGGTGTTACAGTAAAGCAATTAATTCAAAATATACGATTGAATAGAAATAGAGTTGAAAAAAGAAAAACATAAATGTTTGCCGAATGTGTGTTTTGAGAAAATTGTAAAATTATTGGATGAGGAATTCGTATTTTTCCAAAGTTTTTGATAAAGAAATATTAAATTGAATTTAATTTTAGTTTTAGCAATATCTACCTACTTTGATTTTTAATTGAATTTGTGGCTCACAATATTTTTGATTTTTGCGCTATATCTTCTGTACCATAAATAATTTTTAAAAGATTGAGGACTTAAATTAAAGCTTAAGCAGCTGGGCAAAATTCTATAAAAAACAAATATCAAGGTTCCAAAAAATATCATACGAAATTACCTAGTCGGAATAAACTGAAAAAAAAAACAAGGAAAAATTTAATTTTCTCTAAAGTTCAAAAGCTTGGTACTGCGGAGGTACATAAAATACAGAATCGAGTAACATGTCTATTTTAAGTTCTTATCCTTTTTAGAGCGGAAGTTATAATCAAAAATACTTAGATAAGTAAAAATTTCCTGAAAATCCCGGTAACTCCGAATCCCTTGAGATTTCCCACCTAGTCCGGAGCAAAAGTTGTACCTATTTTCACTTCTCTAACCAATGGTATATGTTGTTGTATACCTTTCTGAATTCTCCATGTATTTTTTTCTCATATTAACATATTTAAAATTTATCTAATTAGTGGATCAAGATTACATTCAAAACAGGGGCAGTATTAGAGTTATGAAACACCTACACACATATAAAATAGTTTCTCTTCATATTTGATAAACTTTTTAGGGCTGGAAAAATATATTAACTTGCGAAGATTTATTTCTTAAATAAGATTAACGTAAGACAAAAATTATTTACATAGTAGGACATCAATACATTTGGCCATCAATAAATTTCTATTATTTTTTTTTATTAGATAAATTTATGATATTAGAGATTATGGCTGCCAGTGTTATGTTAAGTATTTTGATAATTGCAATACTTTCATAACATAATTTACTCTCAAATATCATATTACTGTATAAAGTTCCTAATTCTATTGCTCAATACGTATTACATTTGCGTGCATACATACATACCATCTGTATACAAAATGAAGTGAAGAACTTAATCTTGGCAAAAATTCTCTGAAGATTTAATAAAGATTGAAGAAAAAACAATTTTGAGAAAAGGTAAAAGATATAAAAAAAAAGGTAAATTGTAATCAAAAAAAAATTTAAAAGATTTTTCGGCGGGTCATATAACCGAATTAAAACAATATTACTGAACTCGAATTTAGTTGTTTTGTTTATTTTTTTTTTATAGAATTAAAATACAAAGTAAGAAATGTGATATAATAAAATTAAAATAAGAAATTGAAAAAAAATTTTACGACATTGTAATTTTTTTAGTTGGCCTCCACCAAAAGCATTTTTTGTTGATTTTAAATTTTATTGATTCTTTTGATTTTATTTTCTAAACTTAGGACCAAAAATTTTTTATTTTATAGTTTTTTTTTCATTTTATTATTGTTTTTCGATTTTAAAAGAACTCTTGCATTTCGAGAGATTTACCTATTAAAAAATCATACGAAATGCTTTTCATTATTGCTCTGAGATTACAAGACTTTTTTTGAAGCACCACAAAGAATTTCTATCATACAAACATTCAGATCTGACTTTTGAACTTGGAATTTAAAAAAAAAGTGTTTGTATTGAAGTATCTATTTTATACGAATTGTAAAACTGTCTGAAAGATAAAATGGATTAATAAATAAATATTCTTTTTGTATACTTCGAATCAAGTAGAAGAGTAACTGTATAGGGCTGTATAGTAAAAAATAGTAAAAAATAGTAGATAAAATATTTTTAAAGTTGCTTTCTGCTATTGAAACATGCTCTCAATTTTAAATTTCAATTCTTTACAACCATAATTTTATTTTACGAACACAAAAATGTACTTTGGTAAGGAACATTGTAAATACATATCCTAGATTCTAGAAGACAAAAAGAATATTGCGAAATTTCAGTTCCAACTTAGATCTTAAAATAGAACATATTCGATAAATTTTTACTACAAAATTAGCACGCTCTAAACTTGTATAATGCTTTAAGCCTTTAAGCAAAAATATTTTAGTTTAAATAAAATCATGTGGAAAATAACGTAAGATACATTACAATTAATCTTCTTGGTTCCTGTAGATCTAAGTCTTTCTAGCAGACATTTCAAAGGAAGGAGAATCTAATTTCCTTTCTTAGTCTATATAATCCTACCTATTCCTAATGCATTCCCATTCACACTCGACACTCTAAGCAAAAATTTGTTGTAATACATATTATACAATAACGTTTTATATGTTTGCTGTTTATTTTTACCATCAATCGCGAATGGACATTATCACTTTGATCTCAGTATCAGCTTAATTCAGTTTTTTGCCTATTTTTTCCAGCAAAATATTTTTGCTTTGATTTAATTAATTTAATTTAATAGTTGCCTAACACAATGTATTTTTTTAAAGTGTCCTTGTGTTAGTTGTTTCCGGTACACCTTCATTCCTGCAAATGTTCACTTCCATTTGCATGCCATTTTAGCGTTTTTATTAATTGTTTTGAACATTTGTTATTTAGAAATCACTGTTTTTTTTTTAAGGAAATGTTTTTTCTCTGTATTGGGTTCATGCACAGTTAATTATTGCTCAAATGTGTTCCAAAATTATTTATTTTTGAATATGCGTACAAACATATTACGTATGTACATTTATGTATATATTTTTCAATATGATCATCGAATATTAACAATATTAAATAATAAAATTTTCGGTTCTGATATTTTTGCTCGATATATTTAATTACATTGAAAACATTTGCCTTTTCTTTACGACGGTTTTGCATTTTAATACTTCCATCAAATTACGATTCCTTATTATGTAGTTTCGCTATGTTGCTGTTTTATCCACCTTAATTATTCAAATGAAAGATTTTGAGGTCCGATACTTTGCGAAATTTTTTTTTTTAAGTTTTAGGACTAATATTGAATTGAATAAAAAAATTAATTATATTTTTATTATATTATGTTTTCAATTTATTTAACTTAATATTTATTTTTGAGGACTTTAGGTTCGTATTTCACTTAAAAATACTAATTTCTTTTAGTACAAAACAAACTAAAATATAATTTTCATATTTTAACATTTAGTATTAGATTTACACAAATAAAATCGAAAATAAGAAAAATCAAATTTTTTAAATTAAAAATTTTGTCATTTCAATTATCAAAATAAATTACAAATATATTATTTAAAATATAAACTCCAACTTTCACTTATAAAAAAAAATTTAATAAAGCACAAATCAGCATGTGCAAGTGTGCAATAAATATATTTTTGATAAATTAATTTAAGTATAAATTTTATTACATTTACATTATAAAAATTAATAAAGTATATAAGCATGTACACTTTTAATTTAGACAAGATTTGGGAACGTAAAATTTAGACTTTTTCTTTGATTAATTACTCTTTCAATTAAAAAAATAAAATCAGTTAATTTGTGGGCACTGATGTTGAAATTTTATTAAAGATTCTAAATGAAAAATTGCCTATTAGTATTACTTAGTTAATGATTTCAATAACATCAATGGTTTAGGTTACAATGAAAACAATAAACGAAGCAAAATACATACTTATTGTAAGAGTAAAAATAATATTATATTAATTTATAAACGAACATTATATTTTCAAATATTTAAATGTCTTTTGCTTTTATACATCTTCTAATAAAATTTGTTAATGAAGTTTAATCTCACTAAATTTAAGAATGTGTTAATATTAGTCATGTGAATATGCACATCTTGATAATTATGCATTTTTAATTTCTTAAACAAAACTATTTAAAATAATTTTATAAATTTCATATTGTCTTTTATAATTTAGAAAAATAAATTGAAAATTCTTATGACAAAAAAATATTTTCAAAATCATTGCCTAAAAGTATCAGTACACTGGATATGAAACGATATTAGCTTTTCAAGTTGGAACCAGCGCAATTTGACTTTATTAATTTTTTTTATCAATTTTAAATTGGAAAGCAAGTATTACTTATATATGTAAAATAAATAAATTAATTTGTATTGCTTCAATAGAATCATTTTCTCGATTTACTAAAAAATAACATTTATTATTATAATTCAAGTGTTTTTTTTAAATTAAAAAAATGAATTCATGAATATATACATATATATAGATATATATATATATAGATATGCGTAGTTTAATATTTATATTCTAAATTCAACAATTTTCAGTCCGAATTCGAAACTGAAAAAGCAAAATTTTTAATTATATATGTAATATATAATAACACATACAAATTTTTATTAATTATATTTTTAATGAAACTTTCAAAAATTTGTGCTTTTTGTGATATTATTTTCCATTTTATAAAAAACAACTTTAGCTGAAAAAATTATACATGCTAATATAAAAAAATTTATTATTATTTGTATATTTTCACAATTGGAAGCTGAACAACCTTTAGATAAAAAATGTTTTTTTTTTTTGTTTAACATTAATAGGAAAATTTCACTTTTTTATTGATTTTTTTTGTTAATTTTTATTTTATATGTAAACAACTTTATATTAAATACTTTTATTCTTAGTTCAATTATTTAGGTAGAACATAATCTGTATCAAAAATTCTAAAATTACTAAGTATGTAATAATAAAATATGATTATTATTAAAATGTAAATATCGAGTATTAAAACAAATGATTAAAGAAGACAAATGTAATTTTCAATTTATTTTTGGTGACATAAAGTTTTATGTAACGAAAGGTACATAATTATAATAATCAAAAAATTTTGACATTAGTTACAATTTATAATTCTATCACGTTAAAATTACGTTTTTTCAAGTACATTGTCATAATAAAACAGCCGTGCAATATCTGTTACATATTATGTAATATTTTTTACAAAACCAAATCGTCTTGCGTATGGTTTTATATCAAAAAGGGAAATATTTGTTACGACTATTGGTATCATGTCTTTTTTGTAATTTAAAACAACATGTTGTACATTTATAGTACGTATCAAAAACAAAAATTCTTAATAAAAACGTGAAGGAATTTCAATCATTACTTTAAATTTTGTATTACAAAATTAATGAATGATAGAATAAATTTCGAAATGCAGAAACTCCATTTTACAAAAATTTTCATAAACACTTTTCTTTGACAAGTCAAAGCATATTATATAAAATAATGTATAGTTTAAATATATGTAAATCTGTCTAATTCATTAAAACTTAATTCTATTGTTGTACTTTCGTTACATAAAACTTGCAAAAATACGTTTACCACATTTGTTATAAGAAAAATTAAATAACAAAACTTCTTTTTTCATTTTGAATTATATATTAATTTCTTCTGTTAATTTGCCATTTTATTTTAATTTGCTCTTCATGTATTACTACCTTTATTAAATTGACTAGATTCATTTTAATTGTGTTTTTGTTTTTGTAATATTTTCAGCTTCATTACATATCGTAATTCTAAAGAACATATTTTGAACTTTGGTATATTTAAATTGTTTTATTGAAAAATTATATATAAAAATAAAAAACAAATAGAAGACAATTTTATATTAAGTAACCCAAATTTAATAAACCAAAAAAAAAATTGCATTAATAAAATTCAGTAACAATAACTAAATTAAAATAATATTTTTAGCACTGGACGAAGATACTTCAATTTTTGGATGAATATGTTCTTAATATTAATTTAAAAAGACATTAAGGGATTTTTCAAAATTTAAAATAAAATTATAATTGATTAAGTATATTTTGTTTTTTTAAAATTCTTAAGTTAAAAATATTTTTTTGTATATATTTTAGAATTCCATAATTTTTCTAAGAGGTTTTTTTTTATCTAATTACATTAGAATGTAGTTTAGAAATTTGGAGTAAAAAAGAGCGGTGATAATACAAATTTTCATTTATTACTATATAATATTCATTTATTATTGTTTTATGGGTAATTTAACTACTTTACAATGTTTTGCGTGTTGTACTAATATTATATTTTAAGGATTTTTTTTATACTTAATGTATGTAATATGGCATCCGTTGTATGTAATTATTTAAAATAATTTAGTATCCAAATTTTTTTACAAGAAAAGAATAGAAGACTAAGTACATAATATTTTTTAATCTAAATCAAATATTTACTTCTTAGAAAACAAGCATTACAAGTAGTATTTATATTTGGCTCATTTTAAGATTCTTCAGTTACTTGGAGTCAGTTTTACATTTACGTTATAAAAAACTGATAAACACGCGTTAATATATAATTGGCACCAAATAGTTCAGAACAGAAATTTTGGACATTTTCTAATTTAGAAAAGCATAAATTATAATATAATACCATTTTGTAAATTAATGTTATACGTTTTTAAATATTTTGTGTAAAAAATTATTTTCTTTCGTTTTAAGATTTGAACTTAGAAAAAACCAAATAATATGTGATAAAAAATTAACTGGCGAGAGTTTATTGTTGATATTCAGTCTTAGCAATTAAAATACATGAACGTAGGAATTGTGTGTTTTGAGTTTCTTTTTCTGTAAAACGTATTTATAAAGTCGCGTTTGAGTAAAAATTTGTAGTTTCGAGTATTTATATGTATTAACTATTACATGAATGTATGTACGTTAAATTTAATATAGAGGATTAAAAAGATTTTTAATATAGTATTCACGTTTTCTTGATAAATACATTGATTAGTAAAAACTATTAAATATAATAGGCCTAACAATTATTGTTATATATTTATATTATGTATGTATGTTCTATATATATATTTATATATACACTTATGCTACATATATAAGTATATATATATATATAGATATATATATATATATATATTATGTAAACATATTTATATATATTTTTGTTTACTTTTCTAAGATTATATATATAAATTTAAATGAAAATAAATAATTACTACAAAAACCATTTTTGGTTTTTATAATTTAAAAAAAAAAGTAAGATATCTTTCTGCTCGTATATGAGATTCGTAATTACATAACTATACACTTTCTTTGACGACGTTTTTGTGGTTCTGGTCTCAATACAGCTCTAACAGCTTCGTCAAATACCTAAAATATAACTTGCATTTTTTTGTTTGTTTGTACATTGAAAATAATGAAATACCTGCTTAAGACCTCTTTGCGTGAGTGCCGAACATTCCATATATTTTACAGCTCTTATTTTATTGGCTAATTTTTGTCCTTGTTCTCTTTTTAAAGGTGATAGCCCCTGCTCGGCTAAACCACTTAACGTTTCTCTATCATCTCGTAAATCTATTTTAGTACCTGTTAGAAATAGTCATAAGTTCAATTTTATCAATTGCAAATGTAATATTTTTGTTTTAAACTTAAAATGTGCTTTTGTAATACAGACCAACTAATATTATTGGAGCGTCTGGGCAGTGATGTTTTATTTCAGGATACCATTTTGAGGTAACATTTTCAAAAGACGATGGACTAGCAACACTAAAACATATTAAAAATACGTCTGTTTGTGGATATGACAAAGGACGCAGTCGATCATAATCTTCTTGTCCAGCCGTGTCCCATAAACCAAGTGAAACTTGTATTCCATCAACAGCCATAGGAGCCGAATAGTTATCAAAACTAAAACAAATAATAGTAAATTTAAAAAAGAATAACTTTTTATGAAAAGTAGGAATATTTTTGACAAGCATTAAACAAAAAATTAACAAATTAAAGAAATCAGTGGAATCTACTTACACAGTGGGTACATATTCACCAGGAAAACTATCTGTTGTATAAGAAATTAACATGCAAGTTTTTCCTACCGTTCCATCACCAACAACTACACATTTTATAGGTCTTCCAGAAGACATCTAAAAATTGAAAAAATGTTTGAATTTTTTTATTGTAATTTTAAAAAACTTATTTTTAATATGTTGATTCATAAAATTTTTGTGTCAATTTAAAATAGCTACTGATGTAAAAATAAACTACATACATATGTACATTTTTTGAATTTTCTTTAGTACTCCAATATTGAACCAAAGTTCTAATTAGCATTTTGTCGTTCTGCTTAAATGGTCTGTCATTTACTGTACATATGTACATACATAAAACAAAGGAAATTCCTGATTTTCAAAGTTCTAGTAAAGTTTAAAAAACTAAATTATATACAATTTGCTAAGCACTTAATTTAAGCAATATTAATTGAGCACAAATATTTAGTATTTTTTATTTTCAACCAGAAAATTAAATATAATCGGATGACAACGCCTTTATTGACTTGATTGAATTATGTTAATCTGTTTTCACTTACATTTAGTGTATTGCTTCAAAATTCCTCCTTTGATACACCAATTATTTGAATATATGGTTAATAAACTTTAGTTTATGTTAATTAAACTTGCAAAAAATCTTTAAAATGAAAAATTTTGCAAATACTAGAAATTAAAAGTTTTCATCGTAAAGCAAGTGCGATAGCATCAATTTTGACTTTGAAATTTTGAAAGATGTAAGAGGACGTTGCTGATGTATTTTTTATGATTACAACAATCGATTTTTTTAAAATTATTTAATGTTTTTGTATTAACAAGAGAACCCAAGTTTTTTTAAATAGAAATTTTTCGTCAAAACCTATTCCAATACTTGAACCATAAAATCTAATTTCGTGAAAAATAATTAGATGTCGCTAGTTATGTTCAAAATTTTCTTACAATGGATATCAAACCTTTTTTATTATTTTAGTTTTTGACGAAATTACTGTTGTGCTGTGCTTATACTTGATACAGATTAATATATTTATGTACACAACTGACATAACGGTTAGCGTTTATTTGAATGGTTTTAATTTCAATGTTGACACTCTCAAATGATTTTTTAGGTAATTTGTAAAATTGAAAGAGAAAAGAATAAAAGAAAAGGATTTGTTTACAAAGTAATTATAGACTAGAATATTTAAAGAAATCGGATATCTTTTTACTTATGAATAGATTCTTTGTAAAATGTTTTCAAACATGCTGTTTCTTTTGTTGTCAGCTCTAGCTCTTTTTCTCTTTTTGGTTTGAATATTCGACTTAAAAATTTCACATATTCCTCTTGCAAATTTATAGTTTCTTAACAATCTAAAAGCCAAGTTTTTTGATATAAATCATTTTTTGAATGTACCATGTTCATATTGTTAGAATATCCCATATTTCGAGCAATTATAGTTAATTGGTCCATGCATAAAAAAATATTTTTTGTCTGTGCACATGTATCAAATAAAAATTAACATTTTAAAATTTATTTATTCAGTTATTTTATATACTATATACATACATAATTATTATACATTCACACTTTTTCAAAAACATGTGATTTTTTAAATATTCTAAATAATTTACCAAAATTTGTATTTTATGCAAAAACTTTGTATTGAATTTTTGTTAAAAAAATTGTATAATTCAAACTAAAATACTTTTTTTAAAATACAATTTTTTAAAATATGAACATGCAGATAGAAAAATAAAATATAAAATTAAAATCTAAAATAAAATTTTGCGATACATTAATTTTTGCTGGAAATTGATCAAAGAATCATCGCTCCAATTATTTGCCACTTTATGTGAAATACCGTGTATATCAATAATTTTATTATTTTAATACTTTTTAGAGATGGAATACACAGAAAGAATCACGCAAACGCCAACATTTCGAGAATGATGTCAATATTGATCTTAAATTAAATAATTTAAATTTCACAAATATTTTGGTTTTTTTCTATCAAATAAAATTTTGGAATCAACTACCGAATATTCAAGAATTGTTGGCCTAAGTGCATTTCGATAAAAACAATTTGATAAGGATGTATGGATTATTTAAGATTTGATTTTAGTAGGTATAAAATTATATTATTTTGAAATTAGGAGAGATATTAGTTCGAAATTTTGAAATAAAAATGACCATACATATGTATAAGTATGTATGTATATGAAATATATGTATGTGCAAAGTCATTTCTGCAAGAACAGTTCGTTAATCTAGGTTCGTTTTCATACAAATTTTCTATTTTCGTTTGCCAGTCTGCCAATTCATTTATTTACTTTCTATTTCTTTGCTCATTCCGACACAAAAATAACTCCTTAAACATTAACAATCATAACCGTATGTAAGTAGGTTTGCAGGGTATCCATAATTTTTATAAATGGTCAAGGGCTAGATAGGTAGTTTTACTTGTTAAAGTGTTTTCTTTTAATATTTTATACAAATTACACACTTCTGCAAATAAAATGATATTTTAATTAATTTCATAATTGCTATTCGAATACAAATCTCATACCCAACATATATGAACAACCAAAGTATAGCAGGTGCCTTCCTGTACCTAATTTGGTTATAGAAATTTCTTTCTAGAAAGGGGTTGCAGAACTCCTATCGTACGATTAAAGTGATTTTTTTTTAAATTAAAAACTGAATTAAAACTAATGATTAAAATAGCCAATTGAAAAATCAAATTTATTTTGCCACCTATCCTACCTTCGTTCAAACATTATGTATTATAAATTTTTTTTTTAACCGATCTGCAACTGAAAATTGATCACAATATTAAAACTGGAGACCGCAGAGAATATTATTAGAAATTGAAACTATGTAACTACATGAAAACAATACCGAACTTTGGTTGAAAAAATGTAGTAAATTTTGATTTTAGCACCAGAAGTAACATTGTGACATTTCGTTAGTTAACCATTTTTTCTCTGCAATTTATAAATTAAGTTATTTTCGGATTATTCATAAAATTGTTTTTTAGTAAAAAAACTAGTCAGGTGTTTCTAAGAGTAAGAGACGCGAAATAATATAAGTGTGTCCATGGCTTTTTCTTGCACTTAAAATTGAGTGGTATACAAGTATTATGTAATCTAATTTATGAAAATTATAATTTGTGCGAATGATAAACAAGTAAAAATTAAATAATGGAATTCATCACTTTGCAATGCAAGCTCATATTTTTTAGGAAAATTTTTATTACTCATTGTATAGACTGTATAGATGACAGTAATTTGTGTTCCTATAACGTATTTAAGCCTATTTACATGCATATATTTTTTTAATGAAAATAACTATGCCAACCCTGTGGACGCCAGTTTTATGTCACTGATATTATATTGACAATATTGAAACCAGTAAAAAAAATAATCAAATTTTTTATTTATTATTGTATTGTTTTTGACTTAAACCATAATTTTATGACAGAAAAATTGTTTTTTACTGTCAAATTAAAATAAACAAAATAGCTGCGTAAAAATGAAAAACCGTTATTTTTCATGAACAAAAATTACCTATATTGATATTGCCTTAAAATTTGTTTTCGTGTCAATCGGAGCGCCTCTAATTCTGCCCGATTTTCATAATTTTCCTTTTTTTTTGTCTTACCTATAAAAATAATTCAATTGGAAAATTTATCTTTATTAATCTTAGAAATCTTTTGATTAGCCAAAAAACTTTACATATTATTATTGTTAGTAAAACAAAAAAATCACCTTTTCAAACATTTTTCATTTTTATGGGTTTTATCATAAATTTTTTTTGAAAATTAGTAATAGAATTTCGGAAAATGATCTAATTTTGAAAAGTTGAAAACAAAAACAGTTTTATTAGTATAAATTGTATTGTTTTTATTAAAAAGAATTACATAAAATTTTACCAAAAAAAAAAACGACGATTCATAACCATTTTTGAAGTTATAGATGTCATTTAAATCAATCAACGCAATAAATTTGCTTAAGAAAATTATTTTGAGGTAACAAATTATACAGTCGATTAAATTCAGTCGGTTTGTAAAACAGCACATTTCTCTTTAAAAGTTAAAAACTAATATTTTCCCGCTTTGTAGATTAAAAAATTAAAACGATTTTCTATTCATTTCTGTGTAGCATACGTTAAGTTGGAATTCTCAAACAGCAGACTCAAACTCAAACATATAAACTAGATTAAACTTTTTATTAATTCAGTTAAGATTTGATGGTATGTTATTCAATGAGAAGATAATGGTACATTGAAAAAACCTATTTTTCCGAGATATTACTTCTTGATAGCCGTAATGATGTAGAAGGAAAAAATAATATTTTCCCGGTAAAATAAAACATTTATTAACAGCTACGTCTTACTAAATTTTGGACTCCTCGAATTGGCCATACAATGATTTGAAAATTTAACAGTTAATTTACCAAAGGAGCAATTCACCGATACATTTTCATGTTTTCCAAACGGTAAAAAAATTTTCTATATACTAAAATGAATTTCTCATTAAGCAGATTTTTTTCGAGTTATTTTAGTAATCTGCTTCTAAGGAGCAAAAATTAAAACGAAGATGATGCAAAAATTTTAAAAAAATTTTTTTAATTTTCATAAAAACATACTGTAGCAATACTGTATTGAGTATCTTATTAAGAATTTTTGTTATTAAAAGAATATTACTCTTAATTTGGTTATATTATATTTGAGATGGTTTTAGATATGAGATAAATTGCCTATATACATGCAAATTCTAGCCACGTGTTTCCGTTAGTCCTTATATGGACTTTATATTATATATAATCGGAAAAATATCAGTGTAATAAAAAATTAAAGAAATATTTTATTTTGTTAATTTAAACTTATCAAAAATCGATTTGAAGTTTTCACTTCGGCTTTTTAGATTTACCACAGAGTTGTGTTTCTTTTGTTAGTTTCAAAAATAATTTCAATATCCTATTATTCCCTTTCGGAGTATTCGTAATTCTAAAATTCAATTCAATTGAAATTTAGAATAACTTCTGTTTTAAATTATAGCAGAAAAATTTTTGGCCCTTCATTTGTATTTGTTTTTATTTAATGTTATAGCTATACGTATATAATTATACGTCATTTTATGTACGTTCATATCTATTTGGTGAAAATAGACACCTATATACTTACTATTTCCAGTGAAAGATAAAATCAGATAGTTAACTGGGGGGAATTTTTTAAAAATCGTTGATGAAACAATGTTCATAGCTATATATGCATGTATGTATCTATATAGAATGGTGCTATGTCTTATATAATTCACATACGAATATACTTATATAAAAATGTATATTATAAGTTTATAAAACATTAAAAACTTACAATAGAAATATTAAAAAAATATTGCCAAGCGATATTTTTTTATTGCATGCGTATAAATTTAAAACAATTTCTATTATTGAGTACTACTATTACATTATACGTGGTGAAATATTACACAGCATTTTTCTATAATATACATTATCTATGGTATCTGTTATACACAAAATCATATGTATAATACTATACGTTGTAGGGTAAACTCATTAATGGGTGAACAGTTTTCGAGTCCAAACACTATGTTACTTTTTTTTATTTCTAATCAAAATTAAATTAAAAATTGAGATCAAAACAAATATTTTAGAAATTGTTGATGTACATTGTATGTAACGAGGCATATTTTGCTGT